ATTTACATTTTTAATGTTGCTAAGACGAGAGAATAGCTCGCATTGTCAAAACCACAGAACAATTATTCCTTTTTCTGTATTCAAAACGTTATCAGATCTCATGTTGAGCCAAGCTTCTAACTCTACACGTCTCACTCATATAAATATACTATATATATATATTCCAACACTTTGTTTGAGCCGCCATTTTGAATTTTTAATAGCAGATCACATCTGAGAGTATGAAACTGACAGTATCCATTTATTCGTGAGCAGTTTTAAAGAAAACCTCTAAAAATAAGATACAACAATTACCAAAATCATGCATTATTCCAAATGTTGTGTCCGCCATCTTGAATCTTTGAATATCATCCAAGTTTTTGAGTTTCACACTCCTAGAATCTTAAGGGATGACTTTGATTTGTGTTTGGAAGAAATTCTTACCACTTCTGTAAGAAAAACAGGCGATTTGGCGTTTTGGAGCACTTTGGGTGCTTTTTACTGCCCTCCCAGAGCCATTCTATGACAATTGCTCTTTAATCTACTATTCAAACCTTTCACGATAAAAACTTGAAAATCGGCCCACGAGTACGAGAGTTATCTAATTTTGAGAAAAAAAAAAACGGTGGTGGTGCGCAGCCGGCGAGTTGTAAGCACGCTGTCAGGTCGCTTACAGCGCGCGGTCCTCTCGACTACAGCGCGCCGAGTGCTATTCGAATTGCAGCATTTATATTGACGCTAAAAGTTAATTGAAGGGTTGGAGCCGCGACGGTGTAGTGTGTGATGATCTTTACAGTAGTCGCATACGATTTGTAACATCTGACAGGAATTCTGTCACCGCGCACGCTCATTGGTCAAATCAAATGCCGCGCGCTTCCCTGGCCTCTTGTTACACTCTTCCGTCTCTTGTCACTTTCAATACACTTCATTATAACTCTAATACCCTCTACAATCAACCTTTGAAGTCGCAAATAATATTGAGGTGTAATTAAACTTTAAAGGATCAAAGAAATTTAGAACATGAACAACAAAGTATTCGTTAATATCTTGACAGTTTGAAAACAAAGTCTTGGTTTGTTTTGGACCGTTTGGAAGTTTGCCTAAACGATAAACATATATCTACTCTTTGAAACTGTGAAAAAATCTTACAATATGTCTCTGGTAAAAATAAAATGATACTATAGTTCATTCGCCTTAAGAAAATAGTGACGCATCGATCAAGCGAAAGCTTGGTCCTAACTTGGCCTGCTCGAACCACTGCTGTTAGTATCCGTATGAACAATATCCCTTTCCTATCATTAAATTCTTTTCTTTTCTACCTTTATTTTCAACATACTCCAATTGTCCTATTTATGTATGTACATCGTAACTTACCCTGTTGATTGCAATTACTAGGTTTGCGTCTATCACAGAACTAAGATGAACTAAAATTGAAAAGGATGAACGTGACACGGCTCTACCTACCTACTATGTGATATTTTGAAAGGTTTTTTTTTAAACAAACATTTTTAAAATCAAAGAACAAAAGCAAAGAGCTAAGAACTGCAAAGACTGAGTTAGAATAGAATAGAATAGAATATGCTTTATTGTACACCAATTACAGTAAGTTGGTTAAATATTACAGATGGATATGTACAATGGGCGGCCTTATTGCTAATAGCAATCTCTTACAGGCAACCTTTGGATGGACGAATCGACAGTAGATAAGAAGAAACAGTGGGTAGTCTAGGTGTAACATAGTGTAAAAATAAATAAATATACATTATATAATTATACATACAATTATATTTACAATATAAGTATAAACAATTTATACTGATTTGTTAATAGTATTAGACCTTAATCTTAGTGTGATATCCGCTTGATTTTAGATAATTTCGTCGATAAACTTTCGCCGACATACTTTGTCTAACAACCATTCTTCGGGGATAATAATATATCAACTCGGAGACAGTAAGCTTATATTCTTAACTAATTATTATTAATGCTGCTCACGATTAAAAGATTAGTTTTCCTAATCACGGTATTGAAATAAATCTTACTTAGAGTTAGTTATATTTTTATTAACCAATTCTGAAGATAAAATATTCTTAATCTTGGCAATAACAGATTCTGACAGCTCCTTGGCAAACGTTGCCAATGTTTTAACATTTGTGAGTATAAATCGACAGTTGACAAGAATTCCTAATGAAAAGAGTACCGTCGAAGAATATACTCATATAGATTAGAATTGACAGTTAGATAAACCACTGTTACAGGATGGTGATCATATATTAAAGTCGTGTCGTAGAGCCGGGAAGTGCTAAATCTTTCTGTATACATATTTAGCTTTATATATTTTCTAGACTTCACGTGCAGATATTCCATTATTATGGAACATAGTACTCGTACACATATAGTTTCATTTTTTTTCAGTCCCCCTTCCCCTTTCTCTCGACTGCATGCGGATGGCGTAGTGGTTTAATCGGTCACCTCGTCGCTTACTACTACACTGAGTGTTGTGGGTCCGATCCCCACATGAGACGACACTTTGTGTGTTCCACAAATTGTTGTTCTGAGTCTGGGTGTTCTTTGTGTCCGTTTCATGTATATTTTTTAAGTCCCCCACGACACAGAATGTAATCCTAATGCGGGAGTTGTCTTTTTATAAACTAAACTAAACTCTCATTAGCTTCCATTATAAGTTACAAAGTTTATACCGATGCCCAAAAGAGAGTTTCTTTTAGAAATTGTACAGATTGCAAAATATTATCTGAACGTTGAAGTGAAGTCACGTTTCCAAGCGAGTGTTCTTAGCGTAGTAACGGCTAATCACCAAGGTCCTCGCTTATCATGTATAAAATTAAATTACGGAAATAATGGAATTGTTATTGCGAAACACAAGGACGTACAATTCATGTTATCGCCGAATTTTAGAACACATGTGCTCTTCTGTTTATATATGAGGAAACCTTTATTAATAACATATGTCGAATTCTATATTTGCCACTTGCGGGCACTTGGCAAATTTTTACGTTGTTAATCAGAATATTTCAGAATCTTTGAACTGAAGTAATTCAAACCTATACAGGATAACGTATAGTAAGGAGGCAATAAAGAACGAACTATAGTATCATTTTATTTTTACCAGAGACATATTGTAAGATTTTTGATTTCTTTTTATTAATGTCGCCTGAAAATTTGACAATTAATAAAGTCGATATCCAAAGAGCTCCATTATTTGTACTCTAAGGAATTTACACTTGTGTTGTAGTTAAAATCTACGTCTAAATATACAAATAAATAAAATAGAAGTGTCTGTTTGTAATGTCAAAATAATAGGATTTTTTATGCTCACATGGTTATTTTCACGAAACCTATGCCTAAAAACCAGTTTAAATATTTTTTGTCTGTCTGTTTGTTCCTGGTAATCTTTAAAACGGCCATACCTACTTTCATATAATCACCAACATATCACCGGAGTCCACTGGCAGCCGGAGCGTATAAAACATAACTGTTGGAATTAAATATGCGAAAGTATCCTAAATTAAATAGGTAATGTAGGCAAGAAGAGAAAAAAAATGGATGGAAAGGATGTTGTTTGTGCGGATGGATGAGATAGTTCAATTAGGTCAGGATCTCACGATTGTTACACGAAATAACTATAGCAGGGAACATATTTTTTTATACTCACTCTCACTCATGGTCGTCTGCTCCCAAACTATGCAGAACCTGTACTGACTACCGATAAACATACTAATATATTTCTAAATACATATATGTTTTAGATAAATTACACCCAGACACAGAACAAATGATCATGCTCAGCACACAATTATTTGTCCTGTGTGATCGAATCGAACCTAAGACCTCTGCCTTAGCAGTTAGGATCACTAACCTAGACCAAAAGACTGATAACTACTTATGTTATTCTGGGGTTAATTTTCCTAGAGCTATGATGAACTATCCAACATGCTTTAAGCAGTGATGGCCATTCATCGTAATTCCACTTCCATAAATAAAATGTATATTAAATGTATATTAAATAAAATGTAAAGAACGTCAAATTGGACATATAAAGTTGTTTTCGTGACCAATAATACGAGTAGGTCTTTTTACGACCTAACTCTGATCTCTTCGTGGACATATTAATTGTCAAACTTTGACATTAGTGTAATAAAACCTGGAGATTCTTCTTAATAAGAATTGTTTGATAAATTTTCCAAGACTTGGACTTTCCAGGATGGGCGCGGACTGCCACAAACCAGGAAAGTTAGAGCTCCTTAGAGCCACTAGCGGTGGACGGTGGTAGGTCATGATGGACTCAAAAAAAGACACTGAGCACTTCATGAAACAACGATAGTATGCCAAAAAGCTACAGTCAACACAATATATTTTAATTATTTGCTATGTAATGTCAATTCCTAACTAAAACTGTTTGTCATTATAATTTAGGTCAATCGGGCACGTAACACCTGTCTACAATGCTAATTACCAACGAGTCCGCGACGTGTTTGTCATTGGTCGATACTTCCTTGTTGGTTTAAATCAAATTTAGCCGCAAATCGCTTCCTGTTCCAAATTAGGGATACCATTATAGTATCAGAAACAGCAGAATAACATATTTACAAACTTGTGAAACTCGTGGTATAACTCCGCGTATGCTAAAATGTCATACACAATACTTAGAATAAATTTGTTTTTAACGAATAGATATACACACATTAATACACTCTCGCCTTTTAATCCCGAAGGGGTAGACAAAGACGTATTAAATGTCCACATTTTAGTCTCACTAACGTAATAGGGAGCTAGCCGATTGCCATGCAACGAACACATATATTTCTAAATAAACATAATAATATATTTCTAAATAGATATTATAAATGTTATAGAAAATTTGAACGAATAACTATACGATAAAGAGACTAACTAAGACTATCATACATACATACGCACACCATAAAAAAAAAACACTATAACCAGTTTAAACAAAGAAATATAATAATAAAAAATTAAGCAATGAATTTTCTGTTCCACAGGCCACAAAAAATGACGAGGCTCAATCACAATCAGAAGAATCTGAACAATCATCAGACAATGATGATGATGACGAGGAAGACAACAATGATAACCGACAAGTAACTGGCGTGACTATTAAAGAGGAACCAGCCGCAGAATCTTATGTTAAAGATAACAGGAAAACTATTAAACGGACCAGAGTGAACAATTCACTGCCACGTCCTACGAGACCTTTGTTAAAAAGACGAATAGTCAAAGAAAGAGATAATTCAAGCACAACTCGTCTTGACAATAGGCTTCTAGAAACCCTAAAGCTACTAAGAAAATCCGATTTATCAAAGAAGAAAGATGAATGTGACAGTTTCGGAGAGTACATCGCTATATCATTAAGGAAACACGATGAAAGAACACAGAGTATGATAAAACAAGCAATTAACAATATATTATTTGAGCAGGAAATGAAGAAATATAGCACAGGACAGTATACCGTTGTGATTTCAGGTATTGATGAAAATCCATTAGTTATAGGCGATGATAAATAAAGACTGCGGTTTTGAAATTGTTTGTGCAAAAGACTGACTCATTCTCTTCTAAGAGAATTTTATTTCCTAGTCTTAAAGGAAAACATAATTAACTAAGAAACAAATATTATGTATACATAATTCAAACGAGCAAAACTAAATTATATGAACAACCGTTTTTGTATTAAAAAAATAAGGAAAAAGTCATTTTTTATTTCAAAAACGTGTATCAAAAAACTGCTTTGCATTATAATTGTGTAGTTAATTGTTCCAACTCTCTTTGTTTTTTACATTTTATTATCACTCGCCCACTGTTTAGATTCAATGCAAACTGTGTATTTTTAAGTTTGTCGTGTCATAGTTCTATATTTTTTCAACAATTACACTTTTCCCTTTAAACTTACTTTGTTTATTTTAATTGTTCTATTATGATATTTCACAAAGATGGAGGAAAATAGTATTGTTATTGATAGAATATTCCGATATATTGCTGTGTATTTTACTACTTGGCTAGTCTTAAACATTTTTTATGTTATTTGTCAGAGTAATGTTAAACAAAGAGAATAAAAAATTGTTATTTGATTCGACCGTACTGTATTCCGTTTATTTCATTGTCAAGATCTATTTTTTTCCATTACGTATAGAAGTGTCAAGTTGAATTAATTTTAAATCATTTACTAAGGTCTTTGGCCTCTTCAACTTTTAAAAAAGTGTAGTGAGAGTTAAAGAAAAAGAATGTTCTGATATCTACTAGTAAATAAAAATCAACCAGTAAGATTTTTATTTACTAGTAGATATCAGAACATTCTTTTGAAATAGAGTCAGTAGCCTTGGCAAGAGACACGATGTCATTGTTAGCAAAGGAAAATGGGGTATTAAACCTAAACCATGACACAAACGCATATTGATGGTGAAGAGGACACGATTTTCACTAGAAAGATTTTGAAATAAACTATCAACTATCGTACTAATGAACTACAGAATATTAAAGGTGCAAACATAACGATATTTAAACACGTACATTTATAAATGCTGCCTTGGACCATTTGCCTTCATCGAAAACGGTTAAATGCTAACCTTTGCTGTAGGTTAACGTGGATAGGGTGATAGACAGGCAGAATTGAAGACTCTAGAAGGTGGCTGGCCATAAAAGGAAGCAGTTAATACCTTTCGAAATATTACCCATTGCGCAGAACCCAAATTAAAGAGTAAAATCGGCAGGTGATAACGGATATCGTTACCCAGACGTCTCAGTCCATTAATTGGTTTTTTATTAAGGTGGGTAAGGTAAGTGATTATCACCGTGCAAGGACATTTGCAGCTCGTCATACACAAGTACGTTGTCATCCTATTAATGACCTCCCATTTTGAGGGGGAGATTCAGCCTCCGGTGACCTCACACACTAGGTAAGGCGTAGTGAAAGAATTGCCTAACACTAGTTTCCCGTGCCATAGTGCCATAGTAGGCCAAAACCTCCTTTCTAAGGAGAGGCCTATGTCCAGCAGTGGACTAGTATAGGCTGTTGATGATGATGAGTTTCCCGTGAGGCCGAAGTATCATCATGGTCGAGCTGGTCCATACTTACCCAAGCAGGACTCTCTCACAGAAAATTTCCTGAGCTCTCTGTTATGACACAGTGCTCAGTAAGAGAGGCAAAAAACGGTGGTTATTTAAATGTCTCACTTCATTTATAAAGGATGCCATTAAAACCCATCTACTGCACTTAAGGTAAATTAAATACACCTCAAGTGGATATTTACGATGTATAAATATTACTGATTATAAATTCTAATTGTACACTGTTATCATTACCTAAGTGCCTCAATCATATTTTATTAAAATAATAATTTTAATTATATTTTTTTACCTTATTTGCTTTAGATTTATTCCTAATTTACGTCAGTCAATGTTGATGTCGACCGAGCCATGTAAACGTGGTTTGTAATCATCCGGGTACAGGCTGATTCTACCTGGTTCCCCGGCTATTAGTACCCGAGACGGCGTGCGGTTTTAGTCGGTTCGAGTCCGACATGCCACCGATAGGTGGTATCCGAGGGGATTTCTGCACGGGAAAAAAAAGGGTACAGGCCGATTGTGTCCAGGCCAGGTTGCCTCGTGTAGGACAACGGCAATTTTTTGCATTGTTGTATGTCTATCCTTCTGGCAGTTCACTATTTTTTACTATCTGATTAATGTATTTTTATTATCTTCATATCAGTCTAAGTTAGTGATCTATGGATATATGGGCCACGTTTGCGCCTGTATGATTGGCAGTATTTATTACATACCAGTGAGCGCTTAAAAGAAAGAGAAGATTATGTCCAGCAGTGGACTATTAAAGGCTGTTGATGATGATGACGATGAGCGCTTATCGTCAATAATGCCGTATTTTTATTTGTCTGCTTGGCCAGTGTCGTTTTATGGCCAACTAATATCCTATGCTAGTTAATAATTGTACAATGTCTACTCCCCTCATATTAACCCTTATATTTTACCAAATAGTTAACTAAATACAACAGGAAAACCCATTGCATAGTTTGACGAACATGATTATTGTAAAGAAAATCAATAAAAAATAACATTAGCCAGGTATCTTTGAATGCATCGAAACAACTGCATTGAGTTCGAAGACGTTTTTTCTCCTTTATTTTTTACAAGCATCAATCAATTATTTAGAACGAGCTGTCTACGTGCCGAGACACACGATCTACTCAACAGATGTATTACGAATCTTTTGTGACTACCTACATCGACTGTATTCTTGGCTGCCTCAGTTCCATTGCAGTTTCGATTCAACAGTTTTACTACCAGTTTAAACTAAATCGTTTATGTAATAGTATTTTATCTATGTTAACGGTTAGCTATTTCTATATTGGTCTCGACTGTCTGTTGCAGCTCTAGTAATTTCTATGACGAAGTTATCTCATAAATGCATTCATTGCAACTTTAGAAGTCTGATTGTTTATACACTCTTGAAGGTGTGGAGTAATGTATGTTACATTAATAATCTCTGAATTGTTTTTTGTTGCGTACGTGGTACCGCACATCACGCCACCTTCGTCACAAGGTGTTTATGTATGTGTGTTTGCGTGCGGTGTACCGATGCATTTACATTTAATTATAGTGCCTTATAAGAAAATTTTTACTTGTTGTAATTATTCAACCCAATTGTTAATGTGTATCTCATTATTTGTGGTTTCGCTATTTTCATTACGACATTGTATTGAGTACGGACTTTGATATGTTCAAGTAGATAATTTATTGTTATTTTGTCAGTTTAGACTCGACGACTTTGTAAGTTATTCACTGATTAATTATACAATTTCGTATTTCTTAACCCCTTTTTAATTTAGTTGGATGATTCATGGAGATATTTGTTGGGTCGTGAGTCGTGACTAGTCGTATGTTGTTTGGAGTTTTAGAATAAGTAACAATGATTTGTAAGTATTATTTGTGCCAAGTGGGTGTGTCTTGATCGGGCGACCTCGCGTCACTCTTATATCTGTATTGGTGTTAGTATTTTAAAAACAAAAGCTATATGCGACGTTGATTGATTATAGAATTATTTTTGTTAAACGCTGTTGGTGTTTCAACAGAAGAATAGTCTCTAAATAAGCTTCCATGTTTTAATGTTCACAAATTATCATACTATATACATACATACATATTCACATATTATTATAATAATATTAATTATTGCTCCACTGGAACTTTTAATGTTCGAAACGAAAAAATAAATTTTGTAATGTAAATGAATTTATGAAAAATTTGTTAATTGATATTCTGAGCTAACATGTAAGTATTCAAAACGCTGTCATATAGCCTGTATTAATAAAAAAAATGGGTTTAATTAACCACTGCTCAAGTAAAGACTTAATTAGATTTGGGAGACTACAAAGCCGGAAAGCGACATACCTATAGAATACCTCTCTAACTTGTTAGTAACAATTCTGAAAACTTCGCTGACCAGCAAAAAAAGTGGCCATGTTCTTAAAGTCCTACGTACTCTATCTCCCATAGAAAACACTTCCCGAATAGATCACGCCCCTGAAGTTCTTTACCAGAAACAACGATCTAAAATGGTTGAACATATTTTCACCAGGTGTAGCTCCTTACATATTATTTTCTTTACCGAAAAGTTATTCTAAGACGTGCACAACTCGCTGAATACTGAGCCGATTCTTCGCCGAATAGCAAGTAATGGGGATGGGTACGTAGTGGTACAACCGCTCGTTTCGAAGGGGTTGAGCATTATGAGAAGAAAGGAAAAACAAACTTAGACCATTCTTTTTTAATTAACAGATAGATATAATGGCATTACTGATTATAGCACAACATTGTTAATCTAAATATTATCCTATTTTCAGTCTTTTTTTTTTCAATACAACTCCCGCGTTACGAACATTTTCCTGTTTCACGGGGAACTTTAAAAACATACATGAAACGGACACAAAGAACATCCAGAATCAGAATAACATTGTTAATTCTCGTAATAAAAATTTGATAAAAATTCAGTTCCGATCTCTCGACTTTCAATTTCACAAATGTAATAAAAGTAGTTAAGTATTAAGCATTCATCTATATCTGTAAAAGAAGAAACTGATAGACTGATTCACTGACTGGTCGATCAACGCACAGGTGCAACCGCTAGGTCTAGCAGCATGAAATTTTGCACAAATGTTCCTTAGGTGACGTTGGTGTGCAGTAACAAGGATTTTTTTAAATTCCACCGCTAAGGGTGAACTAGTGGGTTTGAAATCTACATGAAATTTCGTTATTTTTGGTAATAGCGTTTTTAAACTCACAGTAAATACTCTTTATTAAAAGTTTTGATGACAAAATACACAAATCTTGGTTCATTGTATCTTCTACGATGTTTGATGTCGACCACCATGCGGACGAAGTCACGGGCAAAAGCTGGTGTAATTATATCGTATTGTGACCAAAACCTCCTTTCTAAGGGGAAGCCTATGTCCAGCAGTGGACTAATAAAGGCTGCTGATGATGTGATGTGACCGAA